GCTCCAAGACCATTACAGACAGACAGACAGACAGACTAAGCCCTTTATTATACAGGTTTCCCTCACTCTATGTGGGTTCTGTATATGTGACCTGGATCTGTGCTCCTCGCTTGTTGTCTGCAACGCGTGTTTCTGTAGTTGCCATCCCTGTTATGGTAACTTTCACCACCACCCTGTGCTTGTGTGTACTGTCTGCTGCTGGCAAGTACCAAAATTGTCTTGTAAAAGTGGTAGAAATGGGTCTGGGGGTCAGTACAGTCGAGGTCTTGGATCGTATCCCTGTTTGTTACATTGTATAGTGGATTCCCTTTATGAGAATTTAAGTTATGCACCATTTTCCAGGAACACGTGTACAGCATAAAATGAGGGAAATCTGTATAAGAATTCTCCCATTGGAATCTTCTTAAGCTCTGTAGATTCTGAAGCATGTGCCACATGTCTGTACAGGAATATGCATTCCATTTATGTCCATTATCTGTCCTTGCAAGAAGAACTGTGAAAAGCAAGCTCATGTCCATCCTCAAGTGAACTATTGGGCCTAATTTCCTCTCACCTGTGCCTGCTGTAAATCAAGAATAACAGTGGACATTGTCTACATGTGCATTTATGCTGACTTAAATTTACTGCGCAGGACATTACTGTGCAGTAAGTGGGAATAGGCCAGCATCTACATGTGTAGGCAATAAAGCACATTAATGCTGTGTGTGGACTGACTTGGCAGCCCACACACACAGAGTTACTGTGCAGTATGGCATCTACATATGCATTACTGCACAATAACTAACTGGACATAAATTTGATACCTGCATCATATCAAATTTACACGAAAGTCACCATATTTCCTGAGCATTACGGGCATGCACATGTAGACGGGCACCCATACTGTGCAGTGATTTTGGTTACTTCGCAGTAAATGTGCAAGTTTAGATGTACCCAGTTGCTCCCTGAAGGCAATGGAATTACAAAGGCATAAAAATAGGGTGGGTAAAAGGAAAACCAGACCCCCTGCCCGGAATACCATTTTCAGGGAAGGAGCCACATGCAGTGGAGAGGTTAAAGTGTAAGCTCAGTCAGGCATTCCGGGTGGCAGCTGTCAACCTTGTCGTTGGCTTGGAAACAGAATCTATGCTCAATGGGAGCAAAGTCCCACAATAAAAACTGAGAAATTCTTTAGTTACTTCCTGCTTTTTTGCAAAGGCAGGAGTCTTCCATGGGACTACCACCAACTTCTTTCCCCTTCATTTCCTGTAAGAAAGAGGTAACACAGCACCACAAGCCAGACAGCAACACTTTCCTTCTGGACAGGTAATTTTCCATTCTTTAGGGTACAGTTGGACCCTGGGTTAATGGGCCAGATTGGTCAGGTGGGAAGACCAGATAAAGACTTATGTTGAAGCAAAACAGTAATTCACACTAGGAGCAACATGAGGCACTTATTTTGGAGGAAAGAAGACCTCTCTAGAGATTTATCTTGGGACTTTAAGGAATCTGCTAATATGGTGTAATGTAGGGTAGGCATTATTGTTATGTAAATTTATGGTTAATGCGTTACATATACTAAAATGGCATCCATTCAATTGTAAGCTGTTTGAGTTACACTGTGTCCTGTTGTCTCTCATGTCTGTGAAGAGCCAAACACCTTCACAGCCCTGTTAGTTAATAGTAACAGTGGTTCAGTCCCTGCAGTGCCTACCCAGGCGAAATTACCATTACCTGAGTAGGACTGAAGGATCTGGTCCATAAAAATAACTGTTTTTAAGTGCTGGAAGTTTGTGGACGTCAAACTAGAAAAAGTACAATTATGTTTCATTGCTGTACCCTCCTAGCTGTTTTGGTACGACACAGCGTTCTGTGTGTGAGAGTGCTGTAGGGAGTAGATTGCCTCCCCATATGATATAAGTGATTCCTGTTAAAGTTGGTGGATACTGGGCGGTATAAAGAGTGGTTGTATTTCCTTAGTGCTACGTAGTCTTGATGCTGTCCCTGGTTCCTCTATTTCTGTGGAAGTGCTCCTGGCAGTTCAGCTTTAGCTTTAGCTGTATGTTACATGAATATTGTTTGAACTGCTTTTAAAATGTAGGGTAGGCATTATTGTTTTTTATTTTTAAGATCTCTAAGTGTATGGTCAATGTGTTAAACTAAAATGGCATCCATTGAATTGTAAGCTATTTAAGTGTTAGCCTATATCCTGTTCCCTTACATACCTGTGAAGTGCCAGGCACCTTTATAGCCCTGTATAATTAAAGGTAACAGTGGATTTAAAGTCTAAATCCACTGTACAGCATAGTTGGGGAATTGTTGGCTACTTTCTGCTGGAAGGAGCCATGTTGCAATTTATATTTTTATGCACAGTCTTGCTTGTGTGTGGAGAATGGACACAAAGTCCTGTTTGGCATAAAATATAGCCTTATCTTTTGCAAAGGGCCTTCATACTTGTCAGAGGTTATTACTAGTTTATTCTCCCATTGGAATCTCCTTGAGCTCTGTGGACTCTGAAGCATGTGCCGTATGTCTGTACAAGAATATGCGTTCCCTTTACATCCATTATCTCTCCTTGCAAAGAGAACTGTGAAAAGTAAGCTCATTTCCATCCCCAAGTGGACTATTGGACCTATTTTCCTCTCACCTGTGCCTGCTGTAAATCAAAAATAACTCCCTGAAGGCAATGGAATTACAAAGGCATAAATATAGGGTGGGTAAAAGGAAAACCTGACCCTGCATTTCCCATTAGGATACCATTTTCAGGGAGCCTGAAAGGAGCCATATGCAGTGGAGACGTTACATCTTAAGGCTCAGTCAGGCATTCCGGGTGGCATCAGACAACCTTGTCATTAGCTTGGAAATGGAATATATGGGAGCAAAGTCCCGCAAAAAAAACTGTGAGACATGCTTCAGCTACTTCCAGCTTTTTTTGCAAAGGAGGGCCAAATCTGTGAGCAGGAGTTGTCAGACTGCATCTTGTCCTGGGAGAAAATGGTTTCTCCCAGGACAAATATTATATCTGTTTGTAGCTTTACATACATGCAGCCTGCTGAATCATCCCTGTGCCCTCCTGCATTTGCCGCCACTTCCGGGGAAATTCCTTGGCCTCTTAGCACAACTTACACTTCCTACCACATAACCAATTGCTTTAGTCAGTGACTTCCATCTGGCTTATTCCACAAAAGGGGTTAATTGCTTCTTACACATAGCCTGAATGTTGTGGCTTGCACAGCCCTGAATTGTATCCACTTCTTAGCTTTAGCGGTCATTTACACCTTCCAGGATAACGTTATTCACTAATGTAACAGAGGGGGAGAGACTGATCACAGGCACAATCCCAGGCACCACCTTGAGGTAGAGGTGTGGAGTGAGCAAAGGAAGTTGTGCTGCAGCAGTGGATGATCACACCACCGCAACTGGCACGACAGGAGCCAGCACTGCCCTGGGCACTGCGTGGCTGCTGGGGTGCAGAGCTGCATTGCTACACCTCTGGCATTATTAATGGAATGGCAGTGAGCTTCCTGAAAATAAATGGCAGCACTAACTTTGAATACTGTCATGCTAAGGAACCTGAAAGCCTTTTTTTTCTAGCACTGAACAAGAACATGGGGAGGGGGAAACACAAACCCAGTATTGTCCCTAAAGCAACACTCTCATTGTACAGCAGGGGTATCAAAGTCATCCAGTCCTGGAGGCTGGGTGACTGGCATGGGGCTGGTCCATGGGCTGGATCAACACAGTATTTGGATCTGCAGTGGGTGCTGTATGTGGCACTGTCTTGCTTCAGCTACTTCAGAGCTGTTTTACATGGCTCCAGGACTGCCACCACTGCAGCACAGCCCCAGAGCCTTGGAGCCGCTGCTGTGTAGAGCACAGCCCCAGAGTGACACATGGCTGTTCTGTGGCTGTGCTGCTTGCAGTCGACTCTTCACCCTCCAGGACATGAGCTGGAATGGGCATCCCGTGATCTGGCTCTGTAGGCTGGATCTGGTCTGCAGGCTTCATGTTTGACACTCCTGCTGTACAGCCTCTGCTTACAGCCAGCCCTACCTCTGCCTTGACTTCCTGCTACAGATTTTAAGGAAATAATTCACAACTTCATAAGTCATTTGATTTCTTTTTTAAACTAAGCAGGCTTGAACCTGATTGACACCCGGATGATTTGCTCTCTGAGAATAGGTCATGATTTAATCTCATTGCTCTCTCCAGTTATTCTCAAACAGATACTGATTTTAAACACCTGCCTTTGTTTTGCTGCCTACTGTTGTGCCAGTGAAAAGTCTCTTGAAGGAGTGTAGTTTCCAGGAAGTGGCTGCAGAAACCCCAGTAGGTTTCTTTCTCTTTCCTGGGGTGAGGTACAAAGATATATTTCTGGCTCTGCATTGTCCACTCACTCTGGAGGAAATTTACATTAGGTGTGCCATCAAACTGATGGCTACCAGAAGACAGAGGATGTTGTATTTCTTGCTGGTAACTTCCTGCTTGGCTACAGCTCAAAACCGATTGGGAATGATGTAAAGTGAAGGCTTCTGTCCATAACTTTCATGAACGGTGGCAGCAATGAAATCTGGTGTTTTTAGTTTAGCTGAAGCTATTTCCAAACATTTTCTTATCTCTAAGATTGTGCTGGAGCAGTAAGGGAGCAGCATGACGTGGGGAGAGGGTGTCCTTTGGGTGGACTGGAAAGGAGAAAAGGTGGGTTTTTCATGTCTCACACCACAGTGAGACCAATGGGGATGGGTTTTGCAGGTCCCTTGTCGCAGTTGAGCATCTTCAGTGCCTCCCTACAGAACTCATAACACAGAGCATGAATACAAAGTACCAAGGGCTTAATAACTGCATGTAGCACTCCTGTCTAAGACAGTGTTGTACAGGCCCCGCCGAGGGCGCCCCTGCTCCACAGCCGGGCTGCTCACCACACCTCGCCCTCCCGCTCCGCACTTTGGCCACTTGCCACTCCTCCCACCCTGCATAGGCCCCACACAGGCTGATATGCCTTGGTCCCCTCACACCTCTAGGGTCAGCTCTGCCAGTCTTATTCCAGGTGAAGCTGACATATATGCATTGGACCAGTCAGCCCTGCCTGGGTTCATTAGTAACCTGAATGCTGATAATGCATAAACTTTAGTCTAGCTGTTCCTAAAACTTTTTGCAGAGCTCTGTAGTCATTTCCCTTGGCTCTCCCTGAACCAAGGGTCATGCTTATCAGTTTTCTACTCAGCTGGACTAATAAGCTGGTGCCTGCTGAGATGACTCACAGCAGGATGTTTGACTCACTGGCTTGATTCAGGAGGTGTCTCCTGCTCAAAGGGAGTATCAGCAGAAAAGGCTACTCCTGTCTGTATGTGAAGTCATGGAACCCACTGCCCTGTTATGATGGACTTGGGCCTTTTGGGGTAAGAAGGAGACTAAGTGGAAGAAAAATAATTTTTAAGCATAGGTCAAGGTGAGATGTTTCTGATTTGGCCCAGCAGTCATGTCTGCTGTTTGCTCTTTTTATATCATACTGCACATGATCAGGAATTAAGCAATGGCAACTACCCACAAGCCATGGATGAAATCCCATATCCTACACATACAACTTCCTCTGCCTGCTCCTTCAGCTTCCTCATCCTTTTTTGTTTTTTGGTAACCAAAGAATCCTCCCACTCCTCAGATTACTGTAATGGATGTTCACAATTTTTAAATGTTATTTGAATAAGAGAAGCCTACTATCTAATTCTATACACATCATTAACTTTTGAGGTAGAGTAAGGGACAGGGATCATATGTTGGCATTAGCTCCAGGGAGTTCCATAAGGCACAGACAGAAGTGCAGCTCTCTTCTGTAACTCACAGTGTTTTACAGGAAGTGCCATGAGTTTCAGCAATCCCCTGGACCCAACAGACATTCACTGATGGGTCCCGGAGGTTGGGGGATCAAGCTGCAGTTTAGAGAGGCTGAGAGCCTGCAGCTGCTCTCCCTGAGCTGCACTCCTCCTCCCTCTGAGCCCCTTCACTGTCTTCAGAATGGGAGGCGGGAAAGGGAATGGTGAGAACTCATTCTGGGAGTTGCCCAGCCGGCACAGGAGAGTGGGGCAGGTGGATTGGGGAGGTAGGAGGGGCGGGGGGCTCCAGTCCACCCACCCCACACTTCATTGCCAGCTGGGTAACCCCCAGAACAAGCTCCCTTCTATTCTGAAAACAGCATGGAGAGCTGTGAACACAAATGGGACATTTCATGACATAGACACAAGTGGGACATTACATGATGATTCAGATTATCAGGGGATCGGGCCCCTTTAAAGCTTTCTGCAGCCATGCACTTGTATTAGGTCACAGCTGTAGAGCACTTTCAGGGGTAAGATCAGGTGAAAATTCTTACTTCTGTCTGTGTTTATGGTATACAAAATGTGCTCAATAGCACCCTTGGTTTAAGCATCCCAGGAACCCATAATCCAATCTGTGCATTGTGCCATGTTATAGGTTCTTGCCTTTAAGCACATGACATATTGGTATTTTACGTTATCACTTTTTTTTTACATGATCATCTTGGCTTTCTTTAAACTAATTAGTAGATTTTCAAAGAGATGGCTTTATTTTTTAAATGGAAATATCACCTCTTACCCTGTGCCACCGTCTTCTGGCAGTGCTTTGATGTCTTTCTACCCCTGAGCCCTGGATTAGTCTGATTTATGTTCTATTCTGTGAACACAGGCCACATGTAGCAGCGTGAAGCAGGATGGTGGTTTTCAGAAAGGTAAGTCCAATTCTTTTCCCTACTTGTGTCTGGGGAGGCTGCTGAAAGATTAAAAAAAGCAAGAAGAACTTTAACATGATTCACTTTAGAAAACGGGTTATCAACTGGGGGTACGCATACCCCCAGGGGTACTTAAAAAGGCTGTAGGGGGTATGCGCAGGCAGGCAGGCAGGCAGGTGGGGACAGAGTGTGTCCCACGGTGCGGCGGCAGCATCTCCCCGGGTGCCTTCCCATACTTTGCTTCTCTCCCAGGGGAGGGGGAGGGGCATGCTGGGTGTCGCTGGCCCCACGCAGCACACTGCGGCACCTCCACAACCCTACCTCAGCTCGCTCTCTGTGCCTGCTCCCAGGAGCAGGGCCAGCAGGGCAAGGGCAGCAGTGCCCCCTGTGGGCTGCATACACACCACCCAGCTGGCTAGACTGGGGGTGGGGCTTGCACGTGGTGGCCACCACCACTCCGTCCCACTGCTGTTGCACCCCATGCTGCTTTCCTGCGACCAGTGACACGTGCAGCTCTATGGGCTGCTGACGCACCTCGCACCTTGCGTGCCACCCATCAGCAGCCCACAGAGCCACACATGTGACAGGCCACAGGCAAGTGGTGCAGCAGTGGCAGTGTGGGGTGGTGGAAGCTGCTGCGTGCAAGCTCTGACCCCCTCCGGCTGGCCGGTCAGCACATGCATGGCCTGCAGAGGGGCACCGCTGCCCTTGCTGCCCCCAGCCCTGCTCTTGGGAGCAGCACAGAGACACATTCCCCCTTGCCATTCTCTATCTGCTCCCCCTGCCCCTTCCCCGCACACACACTTACCTGCTGGGGTGCATGTGTGTCTGTATCTCCGCACGTGTGCGCGTGTGTGTGTGCATGTCTGTGCCTGCATGTATGTGTCTGTGTCTTTGTGTATGTGTGTGTGTGTGTGTGTGTGTGTCTGTCCCCTGCCTGCCTGGCCGCAGCAGGCACATGGCATTGCGCAGCTCTTAGGGCAGTGGGGTACAGAGTCCAGCCTGCAGCAGCAGCTGCTCCCATCCCGCGCACAGATCTGGGGGGGATGTGCCCTCCGGACCTCCATCAGGGTGCACAAAGTGGCAGGAACTGTTCTCCCCTCCCACCATGCCTCCTGGAGAGCCACTCTTGCAGCTCCATCCAGCACTCCACCCCAGCTGTGCAGTGCCTGACCCTGCCCCACTCCCTCCCTCACCACGGGGGCCTCCATCTGCTACCCTCCCCCCACCCCTTAAAACCAAGAAAAAAATATAAAGGGGTACATGAGCAGAAACTCTGAGGTAGAAGGGATACACTTATTAAAAAAGGTTGAAAACCCTTGCTTTAGAAAAAAAAGCAGTGGAGAAGCAATATCAACTAGCCATCAAATAACATCCACCCAGACAAGTTACAAAGACGGGCCAGCTTTTGCTTGGGGCCAAGCTGCAGTACCTGTACTCACACTGAGATAACGCCTTCTGCTGCAAGCATTTCTGTTGAAACCAGAGGGAGTTCTTGTTGAGTGGTCCTATTCAATGCGATTAAGAGTTCTGTTTGCAAAGAGTGTTCTCCATAATCTAGAATGACTTTGTTTTACAAATGTTCTTCGAAGGTAAACTGATAAAATATCATGGGAGAGAAAGAAACAACAAAATTTTAATTAGATAGGCAACCATTCCTGGTCAGCAAATGTTTGGATGCAGAACAGGAATCACACACAAAAGGGTTCAGCCACAAAGCAGCAGGACCAGATCACCAACAGATGAAAGATGCAACTATACCAACTTACACCAGCTGAGAACTTGGCCCTGTACTTTTATTCTGTTTGCAACCAAGTTCTGGCCATTAAAATAAACATTCTGTGTTAGGTGCAGCTGACCCCATGTGGGTATCTGGAACAGGCAAAAGGGCTGCCATGATTTTGGCCCTTGTATCCTTTGGATACAAGGATTTGGGCAAAGTTAGCACCATCAGCAGCACAGGACAGTCTAGTTGAGATATAAGAGCTGATAGGATGCTGTGTGCCAGGATGACCCCTCTATCTCAACCACTGAAATCAAGATATAAATTTTGCCTGCAGGATTTGTTTCCATGCAGAATATTCATAGCCTAAGTACAGTTTATTCATTTGAAAGCTGAGGAACAGACTAGAACCGACTACTATAAGTTTCTGAACATTTCCAAGCTATTTAACCCATTCATTCTCTTTCATCTCTGATGGGTTATCTTGTGTGAACATACCTTTCTCTGATTTATCCAGTGCTAGCTCTGTTTTTAAGTAATATATCCACTATTTCATTTGAGGCTCTTCAAGTATTTTACAAACATTTGCTGGGCCTCACAACATCTCTGCAAAGAAGTGAAGTAGTGTTACTGTTATCACTGTTGTGCCATTTCTAGGGTCCTAGACTGTGGATAATTGGAGAACTGGGAAAAGAACGCAGGATTCTTGATGCCATAGCTTTCTCTAATCATTAGGCCCCACTGCCTTGAGGAACAGAAACTGGTTCAGTTGAGCACTGTAATGTTCAATAAAATGTTGAGCCCAAGAGTTGTTAAAACCTAGAGGTCTACAGCAATGAGATGCTTGGAGACTAAATATGAAGCAGTTTTTGATGGATCCTCTTATTTCCAGGGTGACCATGTATGGTTGGACACCACTTCCAACAGTGACTTTAATGTTCCTATTGGGGCAGTTGTGAAGGTATCTGACTCGGGACAGATTTTGGTGGAGGATGATGAAGGCAAGGTAGGCTATGTTGCAATTGCCTCAAAGGCATACATTTAAGATGTTTTTAAATATGGTTAAGAACTGTAAACCTGAACTAAACCACTGACCTAAACATCCTAGCAGTAGTACTCAACCTTCTTAGACTCAAGGCACCCCTGGGTAGACTCAAGGCACCCTTCAGAAAATGCCAGTTCTTAGTTTTCACTCTTTTTTAGCTACAGAAAAATAATAGAACAGTTTTTCTGTTGCAAAGAACTCAGAACAACCACAAGTACAGTTTTCTATTTGAACTCTCTGGGTTTATCTAATGAAAGATTTTGTAAACCTAACAATGCTAACAGTTGGGTAGCACCCAGTAGCACCCTTAAAAGGATCGCAAGGTACCTCAGGGTGCTATGGCACCCTGGTTGAGAATCACTGTGGAGTTTGTGGAGTTCCAGGGTGAAACATCGATGTCCACAGGGTCAGGATTTCCCCTCTGGATCCAGGACTGAATGTTGTACTTAGCTTCCCTCACTCCAATGGACTAAACTCAAATGCTAAACCAAACACTTTCCAAATTTAGTTGTGTTCAGATTCTGGGCTGAATATTTTGGTTTAGGGTCCATCAGTTGTCCAGCCCTGGAAAGCCTCACACAACTGTCCAGGCAAGATAAAGAAATTAATGGACTTCTGTCTCCAAGTCTGCACTTCTGTGTGGCAGTCAGTCCCATGCATGCTACAGCAGTGGAATAGGTCATAGAATCTACGCCTTGCCCCATGCATGCAGCATAATTGTGATCCAGTATTTAAGTCCCATAACAGTACAGCACTTGAGGCCCTTCAGCTACCTCATGTCTCTCAGCTTAGGCTCCTGCTATCAGGTTGCCTCTAGATTCAGTCAGTCGCTTCTGAGCTTCTTCTAATCTTGCCTTTCCTAAGGCCTCTTCTATCACTGCTGGCCCGTCCCCAGGCTTACCTACCATCACAGTATTCGTGATCTATGTTGCCTCAGATCTAGCCAACAAGAACACCTCTCCCTTCCACTGCTGGAATCATTCTGGATAGCGCTTCTAGCCCCTGTGCTTATATAGCTCAGTAGGCGTGGGTCTCCTAGTCCTGGCTGGCTGCCTTAATGGCCCAGACCCTTTCCCCCCCACTCTTTGTAAGGTGTCCAGTGGCAAACTCAGTGCAAATTTATGCAGGGCTGCCTTCTTACATCTGGCCTGATACAGTCAACTTCAGAAATTTGTGAATGGCTCCATTTATCTTGAGGGATTGTTGGCTCTGAAACATAAAGACCATTTAATATCTCATTGGTAACGAGGTCACTGTTGACCATTTTTACTTTTTCTTGTCGTTCCTCCTGAATGCCAAGAGCTCCAGTGGTCCTCTCCCTAACTTCCAACCCTCCAACTTCAACTAAGTAGTTTCTACCATGCTATTATCCCTTGTCAATACAAACATATCCAATGTATAAAAGAACATGGGGGAAACACAAAATAAATAACTGCATTTAATATTAAAATGATGGGCTCCTGACCTGATTGTGTTAGCCATTTTCCTATGTTATTAATCAGAAACATCAAGCCTTTTAATTTAAAATGAACAGCCACTAAACTTCCATTAGAACATCACAGAATCCAGGGTCCCGGCTAATCCAAGTAGGTCAATTCTACCACAGAGTCCATGGGTCCAGCACTGTGAGCCCAGAATGTGGTCACCTGTCTTGATTCAAAGTTTGCTCTTGGGACTTGGTCTCAGTAGACCTGCGCGCATTAAAGATGAAGAGTGCTGTAGTCTGTTTTATGCAAGACCTACACTGAGCTAATGTGGGTTATAGTTGGGTTCCCTCTGTGATGACATGATGCCTTTAGGTGCTCCTGAGCTAATGGATGAAATCCCAGCTGACTACAGTAATTAAACTCTATTGCCTTACTCTGCTTAAGGAACACTGGATCACCGCTCGGGACATGAGTGCTGTGCGCCCAATGCATCCCTCCTCTGCCCAAGGGGTGGAAGACATGATTCGCCTTGGGGACCTGAATGAAGCAGGCATGGTGCGCAACCTCCTTGTCCGCCACCAGGAGCACAAAATCTACGTGAGTGCCATGGAAGATGGGCCAATCTTGCTCAAGGATAAGTAACGAGTCATAGCACATGTTTGGCAGGGAGTCTCCTCCTCTGCAGGGCAGTTTTGGCTTCCTTTGTTGGACAGACCACACATTCTGGGATGTAAGAAGCTTGGCTCTAGTGTCTATGCACCTGTCTTCCTCTCCAAAAACTGATCTTGTCCAAAGGCTGTATTTTGTCACCAAGGATAAGAACGGATGTTAGGCTTTGGAATTGTTGAGTGGGTCCCACAAAAAACAGTGAGAGAAAGAGCTGACTTCTAGCTTCCTCTTCAGAGTAAATGTTACCATAGGTCACTGCCTCAGACTATTTGTCCAGGCATTAGACAAATATCAGATATATGTGATAGCTTATAATTAGACAAATATCAGATATATGTGATAGCTTATAATTAGGAAATCATGATAGTTTCAATGGTTCCCACGTTGATAAGCAATTAATTCAATTAGGCAATGGCATTATCTGGATTGTTTTTATGCAGATGCAATTACAATGAATGGGAGGCTAATTCTGTGGTCAGAGCATTGGATTAGGATTGAGGAGATTTGGTTTCTTTTCCTGACTGCCACAGTCTTCCTTTGTGACCCTGGGCAACCTGATCTGCTTGATTGCTCATAGCTTTGTTTCTCCCTCTGAAAATGAAGATGATAATATTTAGTTTCTCCTCTTTGTGCTTCTTATTTAAATGCAAATGTCATGAAACAGGGCCTGTCTCTCAACTGTGTGTATATGTACAGTGCCCAGTGTAGAATATGATAGATATTGCTGTAACACAAATAACTATGTTTGTGTGGAAGACCCCTGTGCTAGTCTCTGGCTGTCTGAGACTGTCACAGACAAAAGCTCTTATATTTACATAATCACCTTGCATTTATATACTGTACAAGCTCTCATTGAGAGGGATCCCAAAGCTTTTCATGCATATAAGTAAATGACAGCATGAATTGTAGCCATATTGTCTACCAGTCAAGTGCAGCCACATCTGGGATACTCCACTTATACCCTGGTGTAAGTTCATTGAAACCAGTGGAGTTTCATAGTTGGGAATCCAGCATCTTGGCAATACAACCTACCTTCCTATCTTGGCCACATAACCAAACCCCCTGGGGTTGCTCTCTAGGAGCAGCTGCTCAATCCAGGAATACAGCAGCTGCTTGACAGTGACATTACATGATGGTTGCTGATGGGAAGTGACAAATGCCATATCTGACTGAGCTAATAGAGAATGTAGCCGCATTGCCATTAACTGAGCTGCAATCTGGCGAGGGGTCCAGGATTTGCATCTCTTCCTGTGCAAAAAATGTTGTAGGCTCTTTAAGAACCACTGGTGGTCTGCATCACTGCTATAAATTTATTCTGAGTGCTGCTACGTCCAGCAGCCCAGTGGCCCTACTGAGGCAGTTTAGTACAGACTTATTAGAGGAAAGTTACTGAATCACCAGACATGGGGTTTTCCCTAGAAACCTTCTATCCTGACCTGGCTGTGTTTAGTTTATGAGGTTTAATGAGAGCAGCGTACAAGATGGCATTGACTTTATTTTGCTGCTTCTGGACTTGAGGCAAAAGGTAACTCTCACCTCTTTTAGACCTACACAGGCTCCATCTTGGTGGCGGTGAATCCATACCAGGTGCTGCCACTCTACACAGTGGAACAGATCAGACTCTACAGTAATAAGAGAATTGGGGAGCTCCCACCTCATGTCTTTGCCATTGCAGACAACTGTTATTTCAACATGAAGAGAAATAAGAGAGACCAGTGCTGTGTCATCAGGTAATTGGAGGGGTCAAGCATGGGTGGAGTGACTGAACAGAGGCTGATCCCAAAGTTCTTCTGGAGGTGACAGTTCCTTCAGGAAGGGGCAGAGATAACACTAGAAAAGCAAAGAGGAATTTTTTTTTTTTTGCTGCATCAGTTTTGGCTTGGAGTCCAAAAAAGCCCCCTAAAATGAGAAAATGATGGATTTGGTGAAAATAAAGCCTCAGCCAAGACAAAATGGGTGTGTACTTGGCATTTGCATGCACAGTTTTAGAATCATCATGAAATATTTTATTAGCCCTGAGGAAAGGACAAGGGATAATGATCTTAAATTACAGCAAGGGAATTCTTGCCATGAGAGTAGTTAGGTACTGGAACTTGATAGTTTTTTTGCAATGATGTCTGTGCCACCAGTGTGCGTGTTGAGCCACACTGGTGGCACAGGCTAATTGTCCATTTATTTCCACTGGTGCAAACCTTCTGCCATTAGTGGATTTGCACCTGTATAAATGATGGAAGAATTCACTGCTTAACACTTCTCATTCCCTACATAAGATTCAATCTGAGTTGGCCTATCTTGTGGTAAATATAAGTGATCTTTTTTTTTTTACATTGCTTTGGCCTTTTTGTCTCTGCAGCAGAAAAGAGGCAAATAAGCCACTGATTTCAAGTATTTATGTTTTGGATTGCAGTGGAGAATCTGGAGCTGGGAAGACAGAAAGCACTAAGCTGATGCTGCAATTTTTAGCTGCCATCAGTGGCCAGCATTCCTGGATTGAGCAGCAGATTCTAGAGGCCAACCCCATCCTGGAAGGTAGGTTATCTGGCCAAGATGTCAGATTCACCATTGTGTAACTCCAGAGATTTCAGCAAACTTATGCCAGAGTAACTGGAGTAATGCAGTGATGTCTCATGACCATTGTATCTGCACAAGCAGCTAAAATCTTGGACCATGGAAGCTAGGAATCTACTAGGAATTTTGGCAGTCTACAAATAATTTCCCCTCAAACCCTATGTGTTTTCATCTCAGATTTTGCCCCATATCTTCAGGATTTCTGCCATTTTTAACTCAATTCTATTCCAGCATGTTAAAAGTAGATATTTCAACCCACAAGTGAGGTCATCCAGCATTTTTAAGGACCTCATTTAACTTCTCCGAGAGAAAGTGAAGGGGCAGCTTGACCAAGATTCATATGCAGCTGCACAAGATAAAAGATATAACAAGAGCTAATTGCCAGAAGCTGGAGGTGGGCTAATTCAAGCAGGGGATAAGGTGCCCATTTTTAACAGTGAGGGTAGTTGACCATTGATACAGTCTGATTCATTTGGTGCTATCTTTGAAGCTTTCTGAATCATGTGCTCTAGCTAAACCAAGAGATAGGGTCTTACTGTCAGAATTACCAGGTGCAGTTGTCCAGCCTGTGTTATGCAGGAGGTTGGGTGAGATGATGAAAATGGTCTCCTTTGTTTTTTTAAATCTATAGATGAGTATAGATAAGTAGAGTAACATTATTTAAATTGGTAGCAACTCTGTACTATACAGTAGTGGGCAGTCTTGCATTGTTTTTAAATGTTCCCTTTTTTGCGGATAAATACCAAGTGTTTCAATCATTTGAGGCATCAAATGGCATCTGCTGATGGGACTGGCTGCTCTGTGGTATTACCATGTGAGATAGGTAGTTCACATTCCAAGTCCTTGTGTCTAGCTCTGTGAGGAAAGACAGCTTCTCTCTATGATGAGTAAATCCAGTTTCTGTCCCTGCCTCACTGTCCTCCTCTACCAGCCTTTGGAAATGCCAAGACAATTCGCAATGACAACTCAAGCCGCTTTGGGAAATACATCGATATCCACTTCACCCAAAATGGTGTGATTGAGGGAGCCCGCATAGAGCAGTTCCTTCTGGAGAAGTCTCGGGTTTGTCGGCAGGTGAGGGCATGAAGAAAAATCTGGAGGAGTTCACTCTGACTGCTCTTCTGATATGAACCTCTGCTAAGAGGTCCTGCTGTTGGCATATTTATTTTGTTCCAGGCTCCAGAGGAAAGGAACTATCACATTTTTTACTGCATGCTAATGGGGATGAATGTGGAGCAGAAGAAAATGTTGAATCTGGGCCCTGCTTCAGAGTACACCTACCTCACAATGGTAAGACAGAATCACAGAAGTAGTGCTGGAAGAGACCTCCGTAGGTTATCTAGTTTGACCCCTTGTCTGAGGCAGGATCTATCTATACCATCCTATACAAATCCATTGTCTTACATCTTAGTAAAACTATACAGTCAAACCTGACACAACATCAGACATAACACCCTGACCTGCCACAGGTAAGCTGTTAACTGATGCTTAAGAGATCCCAGGAAGAGGTCCATGCCCTCCATGACAGACAAAGGCAAGAATCCCCATAGTCCATAACAATATGACCATGGGGTAAAATTCCTTCCTGACCCCAAATATGGTGATTGGTCTGACCCTGAGAGAAGGGGCAAGACCCTCTAGCCAGGGTTTAAGTCCCAGCAGGAGCATTGGCACAGGCCAGTCAGAATCCACAACCTTGGCTGCAGCTAACAACCAATGCCTCTGAGGAAGTCATACAAAAATCCTGACATATACCGGGGGGGGGGGGCATAAATTCCCTCCTACCCACATATGGCAATCTGCAAAGCCCAGAAGCATGGGAGATACCCATAGCAGAACATAAGCATAGCTACACCTAGATTGTCCCTGACCAATGGCTGTCCAACCTCTTCTTGAATACCTCCAGTGATGAATAGTCTACAATTTCCCTAGTTACCTATTTACCAACTCACTGTTCTAACAGTGAAGAAGTTTTCCTGATTTCCAATCTAAACCTAATTTGCTGCAACTTCAGTCCATTGGTCTGTGTCCTACTCTCTGTGGCAGCCATTCAAGTATTTGAAGACTGCTATCATAGTCCCTCTAAGTGCCTTTTCTGCAAGATGAAAATGCCTAGCTCCTTCAGCCTCTACTAGTATGACTTGCCTTCCAAGCCCTTTGTCATCACCTTCCTTCATTACTAGCACTTTGGTTCATTTGGCACCTGGGTCCATTGTGCTGTGTCACAACCATATGTCACAGAACTGGTTGCAAATGAGTACTGGAACAGCCCCTATCCCTGGCCTATGCTTCTTTCTTCTGCTCCCTCAACATTCAGCTGAGACATGAGAATGTATAGGTTTTATCTCATGGACCCACTTATGGATACCCTATCCTACTGCAGGCAGCATGCAGTCCTTTGGTGAATGGAAAGGAGAAAACCACCATTGTAAGGGGAAGTAAAAAGTCCAGGAGGGCTTGTCTTGGGCTTGTAAAGAGCAGTGTGCAGGAGCAGATCCACTGTTGTCCTCTAGGTCAGTGGTGGTTCTCTAAGTCAGTGTAAACATCCCAGGATGTTTCCCTGCACCCACCTATGTGCTGCCCACACAGGGTGACTGCGCATCCTGTGATGGACGCAATGATGCAAAGGAATATGCACACATCCGCTCTGCAATGAAAATCCTCATGTTCTCCGATTCTGAGCACTGGGACATCAGCAAGCTGCTGGCTGCTATTCTGCACCTGGGGAATGTGGAGTTTGAAGGTAAATCCAGCAGTGTGTGCATCCATGTCCTATTCTGCACCTGGGGAATGTGGAGTTTGAAGGTAAATCCAGCAGTGTCTGCATCCATGTCCTCCCTTGATCTTGGTGTTGAACACCTGTGGCAGAACAGACGGTTTCTTGTCTAAAGTGCCAGGCTGTGACTGTCTGCCCCCCAGGTGCATGGGGCAGATGGCGGGATGGCAATGGAAGGATGGGGAGATGCACACAATAAAAGTCCTGGCCAGTGACCCCTACTCTAAGAGAGGTGACCTTATTGGTACCTTCACTGTAACATATATTGTCATGCCTTTAAATAGGTCCTTTATTGCCCATAATGAGACATTAAACAATATAGTGCCATGCCACACTTGTTAACTCAAGTACTGTACATGCAAGTGGGTAGGGGAGTGGCTGAGCCATGGTTGCCATGAGGATTGTAATTTGGTATTCCCTAAGTTGTGTTTGTTGATGATCATCAACCTCAGCATTGCAATGAAAGCATTTACTGCAGTGCACAGGCTGTAGGTGACACATATATACACAATGGAGAATAATCTCTTAGGCTGAGAGTGTTTTGGGTCAGAGACTCTCCCAATGTGCCTGGGTAGTGCCCTATACAAAGGAGTCCTGCATCCAATTTGGGATGTAGTCTTTGAAATGAAACATAATTCTCCTACAGCCCCAGCACCTGCTGACTAACATGAACATCCTGGCCAGGGTCACTGCTGATAATAGCTACTGGGGCTGCCAGGCTCCAGGAATAAGTTGGAATCTTGGCCTGAAATTTGAATGAAGTTTGCTGAACTTGCAGTGCTGAATCTTTGCTTTGGATATTACAGCCACAGGCCACATCTACATGAGATGCTGACTGTGCAGTAGCCTGTGACTACTGCACAGTAGCATTGCATGTCAAGAAGCATGATGCAATGCTACTGTGCTGTAGTCATGAGCTACTGCACAGTCAGCATTATAAAAGAGCCGTTCCTCTGTGCAACTATGAAGTAACTCCAGGACTTGTTTATACACGTACTAAATGATTGCACAGTAATGACTGTGCAGTCAGCATCTTATGTAGATGCAGCCAGTTAGTAGCAACACAGCCACATGCCCAAGTAGTGTATGTTTACAGTAAGGGTATTTATTGAGGCTTGCTGTTTCCTCTTCCTAGCTGCTGTGTATGATAACTTGGACTGCTGTGATGTGCTGGATTCCCCGCACTTTTCTATAGCAACTAGACTTCTTGAGGTAATGGATTCTCTTTGTCTTCTCCCACTAGCTCTCTCATTTTCTATCTCCTCTGTGAAAATGCACTGTCAGCATGCATGTTTGTGTGAAGGGCTGAATATTGTTTCCCTTTTCCACTGTGTCCTCATCATCGCTGCAGTCACTTTCCATCATGTCACTGCATGCTCCTCCTGTGTTAACAGGCCACCTTGGCCCAGTGCCGTCAGGCAACCTGTCTGTACTAACCACATCACCTGTTTTCCTGAGACAGACACCTCCTTTCTTTGCCAGCTCTCCCTTTTGTGCATAGAATGACCCAGCCGCAATGATTATTCCTCCAGGTGGACTCTGGGGAGCTCCGGAACAGCCTTACAAACCACTCCATCATTATCCGTGGAGAAAGTGTGTCCATGCCCCTGAGTGTTGCCCAGGCTGCTGATGGGCGAGATGGCTTTGTAAAGGTAAAAGAGAAGGCTGCCTCTCTACAAGTGCTTTGCACTTATGCCTTTCAAAGATGGGAAATGCTTTCAAAGCTCTCTCCCTTTGACTGGTGGAGGGTCTGACACTTATCACAACACCCTTTTTGCTCTGCCCTGAGGATGTTCATTGACTTCAATGGGGCAGCTCATCATTACTGGCAGTGGGCCTCATGGAGTTTGCAGTAGTGGCCCCTTGCTTCATTTTAATTTCTTCTGCAGGGGATCTATGGACAGATTTTCCTGTGGATTGTAAACAAGATCAATTCAGCAATCTTCAGCCCACCTTCCCAGGATGCTAAAAATGCACGCCAATCCATTGGGCTGCTGGACATCTTTGGATTTGAAAACTTTAACAGTAATAGGTAAGACATTTCAGATTCATTTCCATTGGAAAAGCTAAAACAGCAGAGATAAATGGTGGGAACCAGTGAATGAATGAATGAAGGAATGAATATTTCCCTTCTCCTCTTAATTCTTAAAGAAATGATGGCTTTTCCATCATTGATACCAACATGGGCATCAACACATGTTGCAACATTAAATCATGTAGACATATCCACAGATACCAGCTAGTGATCCATACACTATCAGCAAGCATTTTGCAAACTATGAATCCACAATGATCTGAAGTCACATGGGGACCCCAGTATTAATGTACCTGTGATATGGCTCATGGAACATGTAATCAGGATCGCAGTTCTGTGATGGGATATATAATAAATCTGGCTATATAGTATGATGGTGCCTAATCATAGCTATTATAATATTATTATTACTCCAAAAGGCAATTATCTCACTGAGGGCCTCATTATACTAGGTACTTTATAGACAATTAGGCATATCCAGTCTTGGCCCCAGATAGTTTATAATCAAATTTAACTGCAGTTGTAACATGTAAGAATCACACACAAGATGAAACAAGGGGATAGAGGACAAGGGTGGGAAGACCAAGCTTGTGCGCTTACACAGGCTGGCTGCATGAGCAGTCCAATAAATGCTGAAAGGTTCCTAATTGTATTTCGAGATAGAAATAATTTGTTTTGCCTGCCACACATCATATACTCATTGACTGAAAGTCTGATAATCAACATCACAAAAGGGGAAGTATATTGTACAGCTCTGTTGTTTAGGTGGATGATGTGGGCAAAGATAAAACACACTATGGGGTGATAATGAACAGTGTATGATAATGCAGTCTGAAATAGAGCAGCATCTATACATGTGTATCTAGGGAACTGTTATAGAAAATCAAGTAATGCTCTGTAATAGCAACATGCTGGGACGCTAGTGACAGAGAGAATGGCGCATCTCCATGTTGTTCCCTGGCAGTTTCGAGCAGCTCTGCATTAACATTGCCAATGAGCACCTCCAGCAGTTCTTTGTACACCACGTCTTCAAGCTGGAGCAGAAGGAGTACATGGCTGAGCACATCACCTGGAACTCCATTGATTTCACAGACAACCACCGAGCTCTGGAAGTGATTGCACTCAAACCCATGAACATCGTCTCCCTCATCGATGAAGAGAGCAAGTTCCCAAAGGTGAGTGCCATAATGCACCCGTCTCTTGGCTTCACACAGCAAACAAAGCCTGAAAAGCTTCTTTGGAGGTGAGCTGGTAAGGCTCAGAAATCATTGCCTCCCTGCAGAAGCCTCTTCAACATCTTTAGTGCCACCTTCAATTGCAGCCCAGAAAGTCCAGCTGCAAAACCCTTGTGCACAGTGGGTAGATGGTGCCCTACCTGCTGCTGTGCTTGGGAGCACTCTCAAAGATGCCTGTACAGAGGGCAGAAACCAGTGAAGTTGCTTGGGCATCACTGAAAGCAGGACAGGGGTTCCAGGCCTTTAAGACTGATTTTTAGGAATGACCTGGATATGTGCTTTGATTGTTCATAATCTCATTCTTCCTGCTAGTTCAGGATGATAGTGATGGCCTGTGCTGTGATGTTTCTTCTCCTGAGTGATGGCCTGTGTTGGTAATTGTTGCAGCTGCTTAGGAAGGGCCACAAATGTCTGAGGCTTCTGTAGCTGTATGAAGTGGAAGTACACCAAGAGCCTCCACAATTTTGCCTGTGCAGCCAATAAAAGGGCTCTGCTTGCACCAGAAAAGCAGGGAGTTTCCTCCATCTTTTATCTCAGGGGGGGCATGGATCTGCATGGACCTGCCTTGGGCTAGCCTGCTATGCTAGGAGGGAATAAAGACCTTAACTAAATTGCTTAACTGTTGGCACCTGCCTCTCTGCTACCAAGCAAGTTATTAGCTGAGCTCCAGCTGATGAACTACTTAGGACAGAATCCTGCCTGTACTCTCCAGGGTGGCACAAGATAATGGAGACAAGGTGACTGGTGCCAGCCCTGGGGAGGGTTCCTGTGCCAAGTACCCAGCAAGTAGCCAAGGAAACATGCCCTTGAGCAAGTCTTACTGCTTCTCTAAAGCTTTGGACACCTCTTCCCAGCTGCCAGTGACTTTAGCAGAATTAGCAGAGGTCTGTTGTTGTCCAGATGCCGGGCACACCCACTGGCTCCAGGGAGTCCCAGTGGATTCATTACCTAGGTCTGTTCTTTGTATTTGAGAAAATATGGATGCCCTGGGTGAGGAGCAAAAAAGCTCCCAGCAGCACTGTCTCTGCATCCTGTCACTCAACATGGGTCAGAAGTTAACCCTTTAGTATCTCTTAGCACCAGTTTTATTTGGTCACATGGTAGAGACCAAGGCTTACAGGGAGAATCTGCTTCACCATCTCCTCCTGGCTGTTTGCTCCTAGGGCACGGACGCTACCTTGTTGGACAAAATCAACTCCCTTCACGGGAAAAGTAAAATCTACATCCCACCAAAGAGCATCCATGACACCAAATTTGGTATCGCCCACTTTGCAGGGGTTGTCTATTACCAGTCTGAAGGTGAGTGCCCCTCCCAAGTGCCAGCACCACTCCTCCAATGTAGAGAGAAGAGTGCCTGCTCTCTGGGAGCTCTGCCCTGTGGGTGGTGTTGACTGTGGTCCTCTCAGCAATGATGGATTATGCTCAGGTTGAGGTTACTTAGCTAATGTCCTAAAGTCAAGAGGATTAGTTTAAACTAAGCTGAAAGTTATTGTCAATAGGCTTTATTGGAGACAGGCAGCATGGGACTGCAGCCAGCATTGCTGCAGGGGTGACGTTGTTTTCCTTCTGACCTGTAGGTTTCTTGGAGAAGAATCGTGACCTGCTCAGCTCTAACATAATGCAGCTGGTTCACTCCTCCAAAAATAAATTCCTGAGACAAATCTTTCAGGTGGAATCAGCACTGACGACCCTAGGCCATGGAAGCATGCGGAAATTTGGAAGTGATTATACCCTTAAGGTCAGCCTGCTTGCACTAGACTGTACCAAAAATCAAGATATCTCTCCCCTGAGGGTTCTTGTAATCTTCTACCTTGCATGTTGTCTCACTGTGCAAACCCCTCCTCCTTCACTGCAGCAATCTGGGCAGAACAGTCTGTAGGGACCTGAGTGATTGTCTTAAACAGTTGTGATGCCAACATCAAATTCAAGGGTAATGAAGACTTTAGAACATCTTCTCAGTGACCAGTCTAGGCATGGGATATGTCTCGGCTCTCAGGAAGTATGCAAGCTGTGCTGTCTTTTCAGTACACTCCAGCTGCAAGTTAGCAACTGCACTGAATCTGTTTGAAGGCAGATATTTCAGTGCCAACTGTGTCTTTACTTCTGTCCAAACATTCAGATGGTGTTTATCTGTGTAGTATCTAAGTGCCTGTGAGTGAGAGTACATGTATGCAGATCTGGTTAGGACCAAGTGGGAGAACAGAGGAGAAAATGACAATGAAGTGGCATGTGCTGTGGGCCTAGAAGTCCCTTGGTTGGAAGTAGAGAATGTCCAGGAGTGACTACTGCAAAGGGGACATGAGCCTAGAAGCAGACAGGCAATTGCAATTCATGTAAAACAACTTCTTCTCTGTTCTGAAGGCCCAGGGGAGCTTGATGGCCATGAGAGAAAACGAGGTGGGACCAGTTAAGCACCACAGGATCTGGTCTGGGAACTGAGCATCATGCTTCCTACATGGGGCAGTTCAGACAGCCTGTCCAAATATAGCCTGAGCCCCACAGACTGTGATTTGGAGCCTTATACCAGACACAGAGGGACTGATCTGTGGGACTGCAAGATGTTCCTCCATCAAGACAATGAAGTGATGTTGGCTTGTCACACCCATTGCTCTGTGTCCCTGCAGTATGTGTGGCTGGGCAGGATGCATCAGTGTCATGGCTATTCCCTCTGTATCATGCTATTGGACTGACACTGGATGGGAATACCAGTTAAAATGGAAATGTAAAAGCCGCTCCCAATAGCAGTCCCAGAGCGACCTCTACAGCTGCTCTGACTGCCTGTGGCCATGGTGGCAATCCTGGCTCTGCCCTCTTCCCTGGGTGCAGTGTAAGAAAGCCTTTACATTCATGAGTGTGAGTCATCTTAAGAGACATCTGGCAGAAGACATCTGTGAAGGCACAGGGGGAAATATATTCTAGCTTGTACTATATTGAGTGAGAAACAGATTGCAAATGCATTGCCATGCACAGAAGAAATATTGGTAGGTTGGGTAGGTACAGGTACATGTTACACCTTAACTTGCACCATTCTTGGCTTTTGAGTGCAATGAAAGCATTGAATCAATGTGCTATAATGCATTTTTTTCTACCTGCTCTCCTGATTCTGTCTTCTGCTGTCCTTTCCTCCTTAGTCTTTGCCCCACTCTGGCTTTCTGCACTCCAGAACAACTCCAGGCTATGGACAGGTAAATAGCTGGGGAAAGAAGATAGTCAGTAGAGAAATCAGCAGCAAAAGGTGACTATAATGGCTTCTGTGTAGATGGGATGAGAACCTTCTGATTAAGAACCAAGTTTCTTTACGCTGCTTAAAAAGTCTCCTCCCACTATAACCAAAATTAAGTTATTCGTACCTGTAATGGGACACATGACCCATTTTGAACCTACTTAAGCCTATAATAGAAAGGCTCCCAATTACTTCAGTAGGCTTTGGATCAGGCCCTGATGTGGGAGCCTGAAAAGAGCAGTCTGTAGAATGGAATGGTAGGTGAAATTGTAGAGAGAACATTGATGGCCTGAGTTGGTAGAGCTCCTCTTCCAGGTCAGCAGGAGCGAATCTTCAATACTGTTCCAGGCAACTAGTTCATTTGTTATAGCATTACCTCCTAAGATACCACAGAAGACCATCAAGACAGGATTCGGACCCCTCAGTGGCCAATCTGCTGATTTGGAAGATGGAATGCCAAGATGTGGGAACACAAATGTTAACTAGACTCGTATATTATTTACCTCAGCTGTTTTGAACACGCTCCTGTTAGCTTTAAGCAGATGAGCTATGTTCTAGCTGCTATATGGCTCTCCTAGGAATTATTTTCCAAGAGTGCATGTGCTCAGCCACTGGAGGTCAGCATTACTCCATGATGAAACTGGCAGAAAAACTTCAGGAGTTGGCTAAGCAAATGAGGTTAGAGGTAAGGAATGACTGTCAGACTGGATGTGCATAATAACAGAGCAGTGTGGGCCACTAGAATTCAATAAAACCTGTACAGGCAGCCACGGAGCGCTACAGAGTTATTAACAATTTGTTCTGAACAAACCCTGTTCTAAAAAGATCAGTGGAGCCCTTGGGAAGCTGCATTGACTATTGCTGTGTTATAAAGTGAATCTTAAAACCTTATGGAAAATTAAGATTAAGGCCTACTGCAATACTGTTTTAAAGTTTCTGTGGGGAAATGCTGCTCTTAGTTAGACTGGTAAAAATTGAAAGTAACTAAATCAGGTCTATTTCCTTTAGAGTTTTAGCTGTGCAGCTGAAAGCAGAATGTGGCACAGTGTCTGTAACCAGAAGAAGCTGGTATGCATAATTGCTATCAGATCTGCTTGTAACTTTTCCCCTCTTTTATGTATGTTACTTTCCTTCTTTACCTTTTCCCTGTTTACAAAGCAATAGTGATCTTGGAGTTAGGACTCCCTTAAAAGCTACAAATGGGTTGGGAAGCCTTGACCCCTTCAACTTCACTTGCTGGTTCTGTACAGCCAGATATTGCCCAGCTTGGAAGCCAGTGGTGAATAAATAGCTGCTCTTTCCCATCAAGCTTGCAATCACACCAACGTGAATTAGCATTGAAATAAGAATGTCCTTTCATTATATCTGATGAAGTAGGTTGTTGCCTATAAAGCTCATGCCTGTGTTACCTAGTTAGTCTCTCAGGTGCCACCCTGCCATACCTATTGCCTGACTTCAGACTAACAGGGTTAAGCACCTCTGTGATCACTGAAATAATCACGTGGTCCACAATTGGACAGGCCCAATAACTAGACATTGATCATGTTAGTGAGCAGGCTTTTTGCTATTCAATGCACAGTACCAGTAGGGTCTTGCCACCTTTATACATAGATAAGTACATCTCAGTGTGAGCAATGATGATAGATTTGGTGACTTCTAAACAGATACATTTTATGGTAGGAAGCTGATTTCTCTCTGAATACATACAACAGAGTTGTAAGTGGGCCAGTTAATGGTCATGTGATGTGGGAGTCATGTCTGTACTTCTTTTCTCCAGGGCTCAGATACCACCAAACGACTCTCTACCCTAGGGGGACAATTCAAGCAATCCCTGGAGCAGCTGATGAAAATCCTGAGTAACTGCCAGCCATATTTCATTCGCTGTATCAAGCCCAATGACTTCAAGAAGCCTCTGGTAATGCTTCAGAGATATTAGATTGTATCTGCAGTAATATATGTGCCTGGGAAAAAGTAACTGAGCAGAAATAATCAGTTGCTGTGGAGCACCTTATCCCTGCAATTTAATCAAGAAGAGCTGCTGTAATTCAAAGAGCAATAGGAACTGATGAATGTAATATTAAAGGGTGTCTGCATAAGCACCGAGTGACATACAGCAAAAGAAAACACAGAAATATAGAAACTATGTTTTAAAAAACCATCTGGTCAAGACCAGACAGGAGATTGGATGGGATCTCATAGTTTCATAGTTAGTAGGGTCGGAAGGGACCTGAGCAGATCATCGAGTCCGACCCCCTGCCCTAGCAGGAAAAAGTACTGGGGTCAAACGACCCCGGTGAGGTGTTCATCCAGCCTTCTCTTAAAGACCCCCAGGGTAGGAGCCAGCACCACTTCT